AAGCATAGACTTTATAGTGTAGTGTAAAGTGTATGTGTGTGTGTTTATAGTGTAAAGTCAATGATAAAAGTATCTCTGGTATGATATGGATTTGATTTGATTTTTTCATAGTATGTTCAAATACATTCTAAATCACACCTAAAAATCGTCCTCAAAGTAATATTTTCGTGTATATCTTTTTCGGAATTACTTCAACCGTATGGCCTACCATACACGTTCCGTCCCGGCCTCAAGGTTTGGCCTTATGTGCCAGAACTGCACAGTTTGACCGGAGTCGTCTTCTCCCCACACACGTAAAGTATTTTCGAACCGACCTGTGCAAAGGAGTCGCGCGGTAGCTTTGTTCAAAAGCGAACTTTTTAACAGATTGACATGTCAACTACTGAAGATCTTGTGGCAGTGGCAGTGATGGCGTATGTTATAGTAAATTGGATAAAGGGAAAGAGAAACATGTGGGCAAAGTCATTAAAGGAAAAAAATATTGTCAATATTGTCATGTTAATTTACTAACCAAACTTCAGCCGAACTACAGTGTTTTCAAGAGTTTGGAAGAACTGTTTACTAATGGACGAACCAAAGCTAGAGTTTTGATCAAGGTTTTTCCAACTACTGACTGTATAGCTGTTATCAGGCTCTACACTATGAGTCATATCTTATCGTCACGATTCTCGGTACTGCAACGACCTTTGATGGCGCAATCCGTGCATTCGTGTTACACGTTCAATACTTGCATAAACTTGTTCGTAACGTTTTATAGATCATAAAAGCGTAAATATTTGCACAAATAAAACACAATTCAATTGGTGTTTGTGTTCGTGTAATGTTTATTATGTTGTTTATAAACCGTTATAGTAGGCTATAACGTTTTGTGAATGCTGCATTAAATTTTAATACCTAATTTGTTCTAGCTATCATACTATTTAATTTTAAAGACAGTTAGTTGAAGGAATACATGGCAAATTATGTTTTTAAACATACATAAATTAATTTAAAACCACGTTAGCAAGCTAGAAGCACATACGTTGATAGGTTTTGTGAATTAAAATGTTATTGAATTTAAATAATTTATAGTATATGGCCCTAATTATTATTCATTGGTAGTTAAATCAAATTTACCCAGCAACAGTAAAATGCTGATTTCATGGTTCAAACCATAATTTTGGACAGACATGTCAATTACTTCAATCCACTCCATCAAATTCATTAGCTATTTAAATTGCATAAATGCAATATTGTTAATAACTCTAATAAAATACTGAAACAGCATATCAAACACTACATTTATCAATGCAGTATTTTATTGTATTCAATCAAATTAAAATAAAATACAAAATTAGTTAACGTTCTCTCAGTGTGGTCCAGCCCAGTACAATTAGAGGACATAATTGTAGTAAAATAGGCCAGTAAGTAGCATTAAATATTTAAAATTTGTTGAGATTGGCAAATTAATTGTTAAAAGTACTCATTGATTGCTACTCATCGTTCCAATAGTCAATGGTTATAGGTTGTGAGACCATTAGGATGAGTTGTTTTGAAAACTAGAATTTTGTTCTAAAATCTTGAATTAGTTAAGACCTTTACTATTTAGAAGATTGCCTTAGCTAACAGACTAGTCAAAACCAGATCAGACGAATAAAAAATACCGCTTTCATCATACCCTTTGTTGATTTCAGCAAATATATTTATGCCACGGAGCGTTTTATACAGTATCCATACCATCTCTACAAAGTTACACTTAACATTTCTCAACATTTATGTAGCTCTATTTTTTGGGTGGGTCAATTCTTTTTGCGGTGAACTGGATTCTAATCTATGCAGTAACCAAACAACCAATAATTCATTTACCCTTGACCTTGCATGCTTTGAGCATAAAGCGTCTGGCGAACTTTGCCGTGACGCAGTATGCAAATGGTGCATTTTCAGCCCTGACCCCGACTGGAAAATCAAATCAGAACAGTTATGTTTTACAATCAACCGATCCTGAAATGGATAACACTCTTGAGTGAGAAATAAAAACGTGATTAGCGAAAAATGTACTTAAGTGATTGCGATAAAAACACGATTAGCTATTTTACTGGTGTTTTTATGTCGACGTTCTGGAGTTTTAGTGCACTTTCTCCTTTAGTAAAAGTAATTTTGACTAAGTTTATAGGTATCTAAGATGAAGCAATGGTGAAATTGCATCATTTAGGAAGTTCCCCCGTAGGAAAAACTAAAGTAACTTTAAACCGTATCTACATTCAGCAATTTCACTTTCAGTTCTTGATAAGAAATCACATTGTTAAGCATAGTAAAATCTATACATTCCTACTAGTTTGTTTTGTTCATAAAACCAAACCGAACATTGTTTTTCGTGTAGCTATGTGTTCTTATAAATGGGGTGAGGGGGAGAAGTTTACTTTTCAATTGAAAACTTTGGAACTGTTTAGCCTACTTCACTAATTCATAAGTTATCATTACAACAATAAAGTTATCCTTAATCCGTATAGAATTTCCCCCTTGCAATGATCAAGAATCTTCTTTAAGTATACGCGGTTTCTTTGATGTGAAACGTGTAATTTATGCCTATATATTTTCCAATGTTGTGAAGCTTTCTACACTTTTCAGATAACTACTAACCTTTATGGGATAGCTTAGAGACTGAACTTAAAATTTACAAAACCATCTGTTGGTGCGGTATCCAAGACGGTGTCACATAATGTTTATTTTAATGTTTTCTCTACAGGTGACCCTACGGCTTAAGATGTATTGCGAAAATCAGAGCCAAGGCAGTTAGGGCACATAGTCTTTGGTCACCGAGTCACTTATGATTGCTTGTAATTGAACTGTAACCTCATACACAGAATTTCCGCGCTCTAACACTAGGCCTATCCGAGTCGCACTCCTGACCACAGTTAACTCAAACACTTGTTCCAAATTACCTGAATTCTACAGCTAACGTTTCAACAACGAGGACACAGTTTAACAGTTTAAAGGAGTTGTAGATTTAATTACGACGGTTGTAGGAGTCTACGACAGGTTACGATCGATATCAGACGAGACGTACGATGTGGCAGAAGTATTTATATCACCGCAAGTCACGCTAGTTTATAAATAGTCTACACTATCATTATTTAAAGAAGTTTTACTTATTCAAGCACATTGTTATTTAATGTGGTTAGTGCTAAGGTACAGAAGGACAGGTTTGAAAATCTTTTTAACTAGTAAATAAAGGAGATTTACAACATAAATTATCTTAACATACAATTAAGTTAAGTCAGTGACGAATTAAAAAATCGAAGGACATTCTTGCTTGAAGTAACTTAGGTACTGTGTAGAATTTGTTTAAGATGTAAGTTGTTACCAAAAATATATTTTATTGAGTAACGTTGGATCAATGGACGCATTTGGATTTTTCCATCATTAAATCAACTTCGAAACGATAATCTAAATCCTGAGAAGTCGGTGCATAGAGTTTAAACTGGACAGAACGTTATTTGACGTAATATAGCAGATTTTTTTGTTAAATATTTACTAATTTATTTACTGCTACAAAACAGAATATAATACTCGTATACCACCTATTTTAGCATATAGACTAAATTAAATAATATATAACTGAAGCATGTAGGCGAAGTTAATTTTAATATCGTACGGTCTTGGAAAATATGTGTTAGGGTATTACCAAATTATTAAGCATAGAACCTATTCGTAGTAGCGTACTTATCAGTGATATGTGGTCCATATAATGTGGAATAGGACTATAACAATCTTACTGGTTCAATACTAACCCACCTAGGTACAAAACATCATAAAAGCATATTCGGCGTATTTTAACCCAAATACGAATCAGGGATGAGTTTAGATTAGACTAAAAATGCTTTCTGTTAGGCCTAGCAGATTTTTACTTAGCCTACTAAAGACTATTTGTTTATTTTGACAAGGCCACTTAAAAAAAAAAAAACGAGTACGAGTGACCTTTAAAGGCGAATGAACGTAATACTAGACATAAGACATAAGACATAAGACATTTATTCATCATTTTTACATATGTAATGCATAGATAGGTCAAAATATTGGTAAATACATCTCGTATTCAGTCTTGAGTAAATAAATGTATAAATATATAAATAAAAAGGAATTCAGTTAATACAGTCAATATAATACAATACAAGAGTTAAAATTGAAATTGAGTGACGAGCAAATAAATACAAAAGTTACAGACCATGGCAAGAGATTAAAAATTTGACAGTAATAAATTTAAAAATCGTGCAACTTATATCTAAATCACAGTTACATCCTATTTCAAATATTTTTTATTACTTATCAGACATACTAAAAAAATCTTCGATACGGTAAAGCGGGTTGTTTACTAAAAATAAAAACAGCCTTTTCTTAAAATTCTTAAAGTCTAAATCTGTCACAGCCAGAGGTAATTTATTTAATAGCCTGATACCCATCACAACATGTCCAGATCTTGTTTTTTCCAACCGTACCTGAGGCAGATCAATCTTTTTGCAGTTTCTGGTACCTACTAATACTGTGCACTTCATTTCTCATTTTGTATTTAAAGCTATTCTTAAAAGTAAACAATAATAATTGATAAATGTATAGGCTAAGTTAATGATGGTCAATATTTTTAATTCAATAAAAAGGGGTTTACAGTGTGCTTCACTATCCTCTTTACACATTATTCTGATGATTTTATTCTGAGATAGAAGTACCTCGTGGATTTTAGGAGAGCTACCATTAAAATTAAACCATATGAAGCAATTGACTGAAATAACGCAAAATAAGCAGATTTTACATAATCAAAAGGAACATAGTGCACTAATCTAGAGAACAAGAAAACAATTCTTGAAAGCCTATTTGTTGTTGTACTAGCTACTCAGGATCGAACCGGCGACCTTTTGATTACGAGGCGAGCACTGAAACGACTCAGTTATCCAGCTATCGCATATTGCTTACGATCGGCATCTACTCAAAACTTAACAAGATTTTGATATTAAAAGAAAACTTACTCTGTGACGGGGTTTTTGAACTTCTTCCTAGTTGTAAACAACGCTCTAGGACTACTCTGGAAGGAGTACGCAGGTTGATCACCACCTCCCCCGTAGGCCGGGGTGTTGGACAAAGTCTGGTGAATAACATTGTTGGGTAGGTAATACTGTCCTTCCATCTAGCCGCTATAATAATCCACAACACAAACAATACATTTCGATTCAAGATACAATTCGGCACTATAACATAACAAACACCGTTTAAAGTGAAACTATGAAAGAAACCCACTTTGGAATAAACTGTTATTCGAGATTTTGTGATTATAAATTGTAATTTATCTGTAGTTTCAATAATTAGTAAGAGGCGTGTTTACAAACTGACTTTGTTTTGAAACCTTGCACTACCACTGTTTATTTAATCATCTGGTGGTTGTCATGGCAACAGAGATGAAATCTGTAGTTCGCGGATTTGACGGTAGAGCGCTACACTGCATTGGTACAAAAGAATCTGCATTGCCGACCACACGTTGTGGTTGCGAGATTCGCCGCTAGGTAGCAGCGCTATACAGGGTAGGGAATCGTAACCATGAATAACCACTTGATAAAAGTGAGGTATTGTGTTGTTTTATATGTTGAACTGTGAAAAATCTATTTTAAAGAATAATTATTCACACAGTTTTGGACAGGAAAAATTTTGTTTGACGGCCTTAAAAATTGATATTTTGAGTTAATCAGTTTAACTTTGGTGTGAGTATGTGCCTCTGTTAGATTTTTATAGTTAGTAAGACTAATAAATATTTTTACAAAATTTAAATCTTTTTTTCAACATATCGTAAAATCTGGAACATGTTTAATGCATGTTTTACATTGATTAATTTAAGTGCGTTAACGTCGATTAAGAGCTTGTCTCTTATAAAGCTCTTATGAAAGCTTTATAATTATTTGTACTTTTCTTTTGTTATAACACCAGAGGAATAGAAATAGTTACCTCTGGTACTATTGTACCTACCTTCTGCTATTGTAATATTTAGGTTGATTTAAATAGTTTTAAATTTGATTTAATAACAAGAAACAGATAGTAGGCAACAACGTACTCCCTTGATTAACCATGAATATCTTAAGCTGGCCAATACAAATTATAAACAAGGCATACCTTCCCATTCTATGGGACTGTTAAGAATATATGAAGTGGATAAGTCAAGTGTATGTGGAAGTGGGTAAGTTAATGGTGGAATTGTCAAAATATGGGCTAAAAAGTGGGTTTTAAATTTTACATTTTTTACATTTTTTTACATTTTACTACAGATTGTGACAATTAAAAGAGATTCTGGTAAAAATATCACAGAATAAAGATATAATTTTTACGATAGGCCAATCAAATAAAGCACTAATAAAACAGCACATGTATTCTTTGCACTTTAACAAATAAACCATAAATATAATTTACATAAAAATTATGAATCGTGTTTAATACTAACACAGTGTTTCCAAAGAAAACCCGCATTCCCACACACCTAGCCGGGTTTCCACAAACTCCAAATTGGAAACAGTAAATATCCTCTTGCGAAGTATTTTAATAACCCTCTACACTGTTGCACAGTAGTAACTTGTTAATTCGACTCCATAAAATTGATGTTTATCTCACTTTAATTTCATCAAGTCGGAAGCCCTTTTCCAAAACAATGGGTACATTTTCATATATATTAGTAGAGATTTCCACCCAACAGATTACCTGCACAAAGTGCATTGTCCGTGGCATGTGGCATGTAGACTGTGGCAGGTAGAATGTGGCAGGTAGCATGAGCAGAAGCTGTATGTTACTGGCAATCAGTTGCGCGCTTGCTCCCTCGATGCGAGATTGCGCCAATTTAACGCAGGAAGCCGTACTTTTGATGGCAATCTGCCATAACTTAGAGCTTTGATCTCTGGATATTACTGTTACTCTTTATGAACTGCGAGAATATTATACATTCTAAATGACCTTTTAGAATGGAAATGGAGCTTTAGGGAAACTAGGTGGGAAGATTGAAATTGATACTGTTGTGTTGAAAAGAATGCATTTTCTGTTGTGCCTATGGATAGTATTTTTGCATGATATGCATAATTATGAATAATAATAAACTGTGGTTTTTATTTAAGAAAATTATCTCGTTTGAAGTGTGACGTACAACTTTTTTTAGGTGTGATTAATTTTTCACGAAGTCGTTACCCAAGGTAGCTGATTTCCAGTCTATGGCGAAGTATGAACTTTGTATAAATGAGTTGACAGCTTTTTACCAATTCAGATTTGTTTGTTCTAAAGCCAACATCATCATTGGCTTCACTAAAATCATAATCATCATTTGGCATCATCATTGGTTTACTAAAAACCAATGACCGAGGACTGCTGGATAAAGCTTCAAAGCGTAAAAAATCTACCGACATTTCGCAGAATCGAACCCACAACCTTTTATTTACTTGGAGAGGACTATACACCTCCACATACCTCCAATATAACATTGAAATAGACATTTCAATGATGGAAATCAAGATTAAAGAAACCAATACCTAAGGTAAGGTTGAAATTGATATTTAAGACAATGTATACCTTTATTGTTTCATAAATAGTCGGTGAATGTATAATCCTATATATCCTAGCCTAATAAATTCCTATTGAGTATCTCAAGGTTAAAAGGATATACAAAGTATCCTGTTCATACTAGGCTATAATGATTTCATTAAATTCACTTTAGATCACGCAAGCGTTCTATTTAATTTATAGTCTGTTTGATGTATATACTAACCAACACTAAGGGAGTATGACTATCTATGGTTCTACTGATATTTTGTTTGAAAATATGACCGTTTGTGCCCTATATTCATTAGACATTTGTTAGCCTAATTGTATGTAATACAACGCGTTTTGATGTTATTCTGAGTAGCTAAAGGTATGCGTACAACTACTGGTTGGTGGTTACTGGTTACTGGTAATGGTTTAAAACTACAACTACTTTTTTATAAATTAAAATAAAAGATTCTTTAGAATTTTGATGGTTTTTGGATGGATATTTTGGGGGTTCCTCAAGCAACATGGTGATTCAAGTTTTTTTTCCTTCAAGCAAGGAATTTTTAAGTAAGTTACACTAGGCTATCAGTTACTATTTGACTCCGATTATTGGGTGTCATCGGTGCATTCAAAATTATAGTAAACTTATTTATGAGCACTTTTTTTCAATATCTTAGGTAAAACATTAATGATGGTTAGGATGTAAAAATGATAATAAATATGTATTTTAGTTTTTGTAATCTATTCCATTGAAACTTTTTATATTTTTGGTAAGGGAACTGTCCAAACCCGGTTCTTGTAACTGTATAACGTCAACCTTTGTTAGATGAGACCATTATTGATAGTCCAATGACTAATGCCATCTAAGTCTAGAACCAATTCCACCCGGGATTGAATTAGCAACCTTGATAACCAAAAAATTAAGCACTATAACCAAAAATGTGTACTGTTTCAATTAGTTTAGATCACATTTCATTATTCTCGCATGGAACCGAACATCAGGGTGCATATTTCAATACAAACACGAGAAGGATAGACCGTTTTATTGAAAGCTCAGTAATCAAGAACAACTCTGTCCAGTTTCTGAACCATCAAAAAGTTTCTACATTTTTAAATTACAGGAAACAGTTGACACTTTTAGTTTTTAAGGCCTTAACACGTTATACTCATATTTTGAATCGTGTACATTAGAGTTTTACGAAAAAAAATTTATCTTTATAAAATCTCAAATTAACCCAAAATAGTTCTAACGTCCCATGAAGTTACTTAATGGAAGTTAATTTATGTAAAATAGGCTAAATGCCCCATTATACTAACAAAGTCGCAGTGGCGTAATCTAGTGTCCATTACCTTAGTTTAAGGGTCCGCGAAACATGAGCCCCAATTATGTCAAAGTCTAAATGGAAATAAACGTGGCACAAACGACATAGTTCCGTGACCTGACAGTGTTTTACATAGGGAAACACGTGATCTGACAATAAATTGCCCCAATTAGTCCATCTGGTTTCAGATCGAAAATGCCCAATTAAGATAATGTAATTCTCATTAAGAATGTGTAAGAGTTCAGCTTAAAATAATAAGACGAAATTGTAAAGCTTATTCAACAAAATATTGATTTTATAATGGTTTCGACGTGACGACAGTTGAATATGTAAGTAAGAGGAAAAAGTAGATGAGGGAATTTACCCTGCCCGAAAATTCACAACCAATCCAAAGTCAGCAAAGAAGGTGTCAGTATAGTAGTTTACGCAACGATTGCGTTAAGTTACTTTACCTACGACCGTTTTTTAATTACTAAAAATCTGGTTTATTATTACTAACAATCACTACTCATAACTTCCTACAGAGGTTATGTTTTCGTTTATTGTAATTGTCACTGAAAGTGATGCAACGACTTATTGTATAATCAGCTGATTTCTTGTAGTTACGTGTTTGTAAAACTTTGTTAAATAATACGTTACTTTTTCAGGCAATAGGTTCTGCTAGCAGCATTCTTACCATAAATACTGTATCAGGTACAATTAGGGAAATATTGCATATATTTTTGGACAACTGAATAATATAGTGAAACAGTTAATTTACAGTTGGATCTCAGCATCCAACATGTGGTCCACAACGAGTTGGGTGAAAAAGTGGTTAAGAGGTTTTCAAAATAAACCAGAAGAACATTTGCATTTATCAATTTAACCTTATTTTGTTTCGTCCATTTAATAAATTGCTGGTATGTAATTGCATATGGTGCCTTTGTTTTGATTTTGGTGGCAAAAGATTAGCACAAACAGTTTGTGCTCTCATTTCTATCTCGTCAACATCACTTTCACTAACTGATATTTTAAAATCAACCTTCATTTAACTTCCACCAACTTAGGTTAAGAATACGCGAGTATCAACAGGAACAAGCCGGATCAACAATTAAAATTGTCAACTGATCAGCTGATCAGCTGATTAGTTGACGTTCGAAGTATTACAATTGTACTTCTTTTCTCTCAATCCTTGAACCTCATTGGTCCGTTACCCGTTTTGATATGAGAAAAACTATGCTGATATGAAATTAAACTATGCTGATATGAAAGTAAACAGCTGTTAAGTGAGTATACTTCTTTCAATTCTAAGAACTGAACTGAAATGGCTACTTTAAAAAACGCCCGCCGCAGCAAACCTGCAGACTTAGCGAATTTCCATTTGCCTGATTGGATTTAAACTAAAATGTCTCCTTAAAAATATCACATTTATTCCCTTTTTAAACAGAATTAGTTTAATGAGGACTTAGGTTTGCTGCAACAGGGAGGGTAAAAAAGTTTTTTTTAATGTAAAATGTTAAAAGGTACTGTGGTTTAGTAAGAAATTG